GGGTTAAAAACTAGGTCACACTGCTCAAATATGGATAATCCTTGTTAACACTCTAGTTGTCACATTTTTGAATCACCTGTCATGAAACTTGGTCAAAATACTTGTCTAGGTAATTGTTCGGATGAGTTGGATGGGTCAGGTGTGCGATCTAGGGCCGTCATGGCCCTCTTGTTTAAAGACAGCACAAACATTGGCCTTGATAGAGATTTATGTCTTCGCAGCCGTATGCGGCTACTGATTTTTTTCAGTTCGGTTAAATAAAAAATATATTCGCAAGTTTATTTACCGCGTTGGAAATCCTGTCAGGTAGCCGCCATTTATTGCACAATTCTGCGTTACTAATTGCACGAATCGTGCGTTATTTTCACATTCCGGCGTTACTGGATATACACGGTGTGATAACTAAGCTTAAACCATTGTGTACAACTAACTGTTCTTGTATGTAATATTTCTTGTATTTATATATAATTATCACAATATCATTTATTGTTCATTTTTCTTTCGTCAAATATTAATTACATTTGTATTCATATTTTTATGTACAACTGTCCGTCCGTTCTGGAATCGGTAGTCAACATTAATTCACTCTTTAAACTTACGATGCACAGATCTTTGTAAAAAGCATTGACATATGCCAACATAACATGTACTAGCGGCAGACTGTAAACTGTGCCAAATACAAGGGGAAACTCTCCTGAGAGCATCCTAGAATATAAAAAAAATACGGGGGAGCATGCTCCGTACCCCCCTCCCCACATTACTACCAACTTGGCCGCACGAACCACAAAATCGTGACGACGGGCCCGAAAGGTTGTTACCACACTTAAGTAAAATTTTATATATGTATATAATTATGCTTCTAAAACAATTTTAAACAATTTTCAAACATCGAAGAATATGTAAAATATGTAATGCAAATATTTGTTCACATTCTAAGTAATCATTATCAGCCCAAGTATATGTAATCGACAATACTTTGTTGTTAAAAGTTTTAATAGTGCCAATCATTGAATTGATTAAAAATGTAAACATTAAGAATACAGTGGCGGATTCAGGCTCGGGCTTCAGGGCTGCAGCCCCCCCCCCCCAGCTTGGCCCAAAGATAAGTCTACCAGCTGGGCTGGAAAATATTTTTGTCAGTTTCAAACTTTATTGGCTGTAGTGAATTCCCTTAATTATCAAATCATTAATTGCTGTCATCCAGTTGTTAATCTCCTGCCTTAATTGGGGGCTTGGCAGAGATCTTTATCTATCAACATGCTTGAGTGACTTCAAAGTTTAAACTGCATAATTGATTGGTTTAATTACTTTCCAAAGGTCTAATGAAATTGATAGTTACAGATAGTGGCAAATAGATGTGTAACATTGTACACCATATTTTACTATCTTTGTTTTTAAATTTTCTTTGCGAAAGCCCTAAGATTAAGAAATTGCAAATTATTATTTGTAAATTAAAAAGGTGATCAGTTTTTATAAAGATTTATTATCATTATTATTATTATTATTATTATTATTATTATTATTATTATTATTATTATTATTATTATTATTATTATTTATATTATTATTATACTAAATGAATCGCGTTTTTAAATGATAACTAGTTTTTCTAAGATTTTCATTCTGATGAACTGATTGGTCATTTGCTTAATTTAAACTGTAATGACCTCTTTAGTATCTAAAATGGATTCATTGTTGGAAAAAATTCTTATTGAATATATATGTGTTTGAAATTATTTTTTGTATAATATAACTTTAATATCACTTTACTTTGGAAAATCTTCTATTATTCAGATGAGCACATTGATTAAGTATTTGAAAATTATTTTAATCAACAGTCGCGCAAATATTGATTAGTGTACTGTTATTTTGTAAATGCTTAATTACTTAACACCAGGGGAATTCTATTTGCCCTGCAAACACTTACCTGTAAAACCATCCAAAATGTATCATAAACAGTACTAGAAAGTCAAGGAAATAACACTATTTTCAACCTCACATTTCAAAATTTCCTCAGTCTATGCAATGGGAGGGGTCACCCCTCCCAGGCCCACCCCAATTACATATATTTTTCTTAATTTCATATCATCTAAATATTAACGAAAATATTAGTAAACACATATTGAAGCGAAAGTACATTGCCACTCATAAGATGAGCTATTAAAAACATTAATTACAATGTTGGTCACATGAACAAGATATTGGCCCTATCTGAAAACATGCACAATTTTCGCCTGTTGCATTATTTTTGTCAAAATCTTCCACCCATATGTCAGCCCCCCCCCCCCCCCCCCCCCAGGAACCCATGTTCTGTATCCGCCCCTGGAATAAGTGGAGAGAAGTTGGTAAATTGTGTCAGTGATATCCAAAGATCGCCTGCTTATCGTTTGTTATTTCAAATCTCAGATCAAGGGAAATAACTATTTTTAAAGATTTGCTAAATTATGTATATTGTTATTTCCCTTTAAATCCGACTAGTATGTAAATATACAGATCGAAATAACAAAAAGCAAAATCCGACCAACGGATGATTCGACTTCACGAAGGTACAGATTGGCCTGGCTCTAAACCAGTGGCACATGCAAGTTATTTTATCGTCATTACACCAGCTTTATCACCGTCAAATTGTTGCCGATTGTGTGTGTGTTTTTTTTCTCCTTATTAAATAGTCTTCAGTAACGTCAGTCAAATATTCGAAAACTAACCTATTGTATTTTGACAGTCATATCCGTCATAATTCGGCCAATCATCTTTAAAACCGGCGAAAGCGGAACAAATTTGTAAATACTCGAGTCTCTCAAATATCAGATCATGATAAATTCTCATGAGAATTTAAGATTTTAAAATATACATTGGAACTTTATACGAAAACTCGAAACTGAAAGTATTTTAATTGTTCCCTTCCCGATACATTTAAAACATCTTAAACTTCCTTATCATAAGTGCAAAAATGGTCTAGTGATAACCTTCTGTCTAAAACATCTGCAAGGTTAATGGTCAGGTCAAACTTAAGTTTTCAAGAGACAAAGTTTGTAAATTCAGACGATAAATATGCTGTTACGATGCATCACTAAAACTAAAGATGGTGGGAAGCGTTTGATCGGAACACGTCGGGCGAATTCAATGCCATTCAGAGAAAGCAGTATGCTGCAATGTAACGATTGAGAGGAAAGGTCAAACATACATAAATTTTACGAACACCTAGCAGATTGTTCATAATGATTAGTCCTTAGAGAGGGCCGAAAAGTTGCGATTGCTATTGCAGTACGAGATTTGGTTGTGAAAGTATGCGATCTTATGGTGTTAGGCTGCGACAGGCTATTTCCAGTGACAGAAACAACAACTTTGTTACAATATAACATCTTCATACCTGTAAAACAACATGTCCGCTGTATTGACTTACAAAAAAGGAAGTTATAAAATTTCACAGTTTCCTTTTGACTAAACAATTAACAATATTTGTATTGTTGTTCGAATGGAATGTGACATGGTAGTCATATTATACCACGATTTCTTAAAACGCTGAACTATGTAAAATAAAATGGAAAGATCATATATTAATAAAATGAAAACCTTTCAATCTGTTTGCATGGCTTTTTTCATAATTAACTTGAATATATTTGCACAAATAGAGTATATTTATATTTAACCATTAATTCAAAATGTTAAAATAGTTAACTTTTTCATATGCAAGTGGCCATTGATTTAAACAAATTGACAAAATACGAAACTTTACAAATTATTATTAGACTAAAGGAGTAAGTAAACCATTCTTTTGTTTATGAAATAATCGACAAAATGCTGGACCGGGTTGTTCAAAACATTGGTTAAAATTAACCAATGGATAGCTTATCCACTGGTTAAATCCTTAACCAGCGGCCAGCTATCAAGTGGATAAAATTTCATTGTTCGACAGTTGGATAGTACCCTGGCTACATAACCAGTGGATTGCGCATTTATCCACTGGAGGGCCGGTTAGTGATTCTGGAAACAAAATGGCCGATTTTTGATGAATAAAAATTTTTAAGAATCAGGAAGCTCCCTTAGACTTAATTTTGCATGTTTTGTGCTTTCATGTTTTTGGAAATAAACAAAAAAGTATATCAAAGGCCTTAAAGTATCGATAGATCTCTTTTTCCCTTGAACAACATAATAAAAAATAAGTATTTAAGGTAATCATTAAATTATATGCATTCATTTCTTATTGGAAAAATTGACTTAGAATTTATAGAAAACTAAATTCTAATTACCTCCCTTTATTTACATGAAATATTAAATTCGGTAATATCTTTATAAATAATGTTTTTTGAAACTTACAATATCGATAAATCTTAATTTGAGCATCATAATTTGTAATAAAACTATAAAAAATAATGTGTTACAGGATCTTTAAGGTACAAATCGTATTAAAATATTAATCTTCGCTCTGTAACAGGTTAATCAAATACACTATATATTCAAAGGGCGTCTAGAATATCATATGTTTAACGTTCTTTAATGTAAAGCAAAAATACGTTCATCATAAAACTGTACTGAACATTTTTGTTTTCATTTGTTCTTTTTAAATTAACCAGAGCGTCGCCAAAGTACTTTTCAAAATTAAAGGACATTAACAGTGTAAATAACAAAAAAAGAAAGAAAATGAGTTAAAAACGCGTAAAAGAACCCAAATGATCGTGCGGATAACAAAATGGTTAAAAGTGCAATCTCAAATTTAGTGCAATTAGCCAATTTAACCTGTCCAATAATATCGTATAAATGACAACACAATAGGAGAGTTGAAAAGGGCCTTAAGGTGTTGACTTTTGTCGTGTTTACATCTATCCCGATACGGAACTATCCACAAAAACCCGAGAGAGAAATAGTTGCCCTGGGAACAATACTATTAAGAATTGAAACATGATTCATGGTATAGGACTATTGGTAAAACGTTTGATGCGACCGCTGTGTTTCTAAACAGCGCAGCAGAGCTAAAAATAGATGTTCTTTGGTAGAGCAGAAAACTTTCATTTTCCGTTAGTTAGTCCGCGACGTGACACGGAGTTACAAAATTGTGCCACGGCGAATATAATACCACTGTTTGGGAAAGGATATTGTAATATTTAATACCGATAATATTGAGCGGTGTTGCAATTTTCTTTTCTACGTTTTACAAGTTAGAGATATTGATATCTATTTACGCTATCAAATTTCATATATGATCTTTCAATTTCACTAAACGGAGTGATTCTGTTAGATATAAGGCTAAGACATAGAATAAAGAAAAGAAATGGAACGCAGAATTTGTTCAATCGTTTTGTTAGGATTCCTATATCTCGTGTCGACCGTATTAGGATGTTCCAAACTCGAGCCTGGTGCACGTGCGATTGAGACGGGACATGAATTTGAAACTGATGACCGGAAAGTGTATTATTCTAAAGTTGTTGTTTTTGGTGAAGTAGTCCGTACGGTGCAAGGGGATTATCCATTTAAAGGAAAAGATGGTGTTCACACAGTGGAATTTAATGTCCTGTGCACTTATAAGGGAGGACCTGTGCCGAAAACAATCTACATCGCTGGAATGGGTATGTTAATTTTTAATATAATATAATTATATAGGTCAAGACAAATTTCTATGAATACATGTATATTAAGAAATAAAAATCAGCTAATGTCAGTTATTTAGTGTGTATTTTTAGTTTTCATATAGATTATTAACATGTAAGTCACATGCTTTATATGTGTATTTGCACACGTACTCGAATGTTTAAAACTGTGACTTTCATTAATTTGAATATTGTTGTAAATGACATTATGGGTTAATTAACTGATGTATTGGATGTAATATTACAACTCCTCTGTTGTAGGAAACAGTTTCTAAACTGTCACATTCTATACTTTGCAGTCATGTTTTATTATTTTGTACATGTATAGTATCGTAATATTTTACGATGACTGGAGGCTATTTGTGTACAGTTTATCATTATTATCTCTATATTGAATCCTTTTAAAATTTGTCTTGACCTAAATTATTGTACATGTACACCTCAAAATGATAGGTGTCAAATATAGACACGTGCCTTATTTGAACTGAGTTGGAGAAGTGTTGGCGTAGCGTAAAGTGAGATATAACTGATATATCTCGTATCTCACTGAACTACTGTACATATAAAACAGTCATAATGAGTTTTATTATTTGTATAACGGACTTTTAAGGACTAAATGCATTTTGAATATCATATAACAATAATGTGTACCAATTTCCCCACTATCGTGTCCATAATTACTTAAAATGAGACAATTTAATTCCTCGGTAGGAACTGTATGTATCCATTTAAGTAGTGAAACGTCGTGAATATGTACTGTAGTTGTATGTATTTTCAATTAGATGAAAATCAAATAGTGTTGAACTTTTTTGTATGGTGATACTAAATGTATATCAATAAGACAGTATAGTAGATTTTTGTTTACAAAATTATAGTCGATTGAATTTTCCTGTAGTGTTGTGTAGATTGATTAACACTTACACTAGTAATAAGTGTACTTATTCAATGAACGGATGTAAATAATATCCTTCTTAGAAATTTATACATGTAAATGTATAAACTTATTTAAGGATATTACATTGTTGAAATTGAAGTGTTATAGACAATAGATAAATACATGCTTATAATAACGAACAACGACAACATCATCTATCGCTTCTGTCATTCATTTAATATCAGTGATGTGGTTTTTTACCTTCAACACGTGAAACATAACCATGTAATCTTGGTATCGCTGAATAACTGTTTTATCGGGCGCCACATGTTATTCTATATGTATTAATAGCGTGTTTGCGAATTGATTAATCTATTGTAGCAGACTGTGAAGAAAAAAAGTATGACAATTAAAATCGATTTCCGTCTCGCTACAGTGATCAAATAGCCTTCGATCTGAAGGTAACACTGTTCTAAAAATAGATTTTACCTTATCACCACTAAATCACCTGTACTGACTTTCGGACAAGGGATTAGGGAGTTCACACTATACATGATGTTAATCAGCGTATATTTACTTTGTTTACATGCAATATTTTAAGAAATTGAAGAATGCAAACAAGTCGGAAATGGAATTTAGTGTGAAAAGAAAATGGACAACTACACACTGTACTTTTGAAAAGTTAAATTTAAACATATGTCACAATCTGCTCTGGCCTCTATATTTGTCAATAAAACGGTTTTTGACAATCAGGCAGAAAAAAAGTTTGACTCTTTTGATTGATGAGGCGAAGTTTACCAAATGCACCAGTAATTCTAAATTGGCGATGATTTTAACAACACATATTTTGTGTGAGACATAAAATAAAAAACAAATGTATTTCATTGTCTATACGTAAACAATGTATGTTAAATCACGGACCTCAATTGTCAATTCAGTTTAAATATACATGCAAGCATGCATGTACGTATACATTATTTCTGATAAAGTAACTACTAGAATCGGCATTTTTTATTAGGTAAAATAGGAAAAATGCAGAGTTTTGCGTATTCTAAAATTATTAAAGAATTAATTTAAGATATTATAGTCATTAATCTAATACTCGTAGCACTTTGGTGGATAGATTCATGACTTCTCCAATCTGCGTATTTTACATATAAACAAAATTTTGTACGGTATATCTGGTACAGAAAGATACTTTTTCATTTTTAGTCCCAATTTCTTAAAATCATACCATATCATATCACCATTTCTAATTTTGATAAACAGTGAAACAAAAACAAATTGCCAAGCGCCGGCATTTTTCTCAAATTGACATGCAGAGAAAGTATTGCCTATCATCTTTATTTTCCTGATGGTTTTAAACCATCTCAATCATGCTTTACGCAAGTATAACTCCAGGAACATCATTTCCATTGAGAGAAATGTGAATAAAAGTATTCGTAACCATTACATGTTGTATAATCTACATGTAGATTAACCAGTTTCCTTGTCCGAAAGTTATCGATATGTGGCTATTTTTAGAACAGGTCTCTTATCAGTGACGTATACGATGCTGATCTCAGATCGTTCCCTATTCGGATGATGTTACTATCGCGGATAACTGAACAAAAGATTTCTGTTAGTCTAGTCTTATTTTCACGTGAGTCATGGACTTATTTATTCCGTTTTTTATCTCCCAATTTTTCTTTCTTTTTTTCCTTCTGGCTGCCTATTTCCCTGATCTATGAATAATGGTGAACAGTTTAACCAATTAAGGAGTGGGGGAGAAGTTGAGATGGTCAGTAAATTATCAAGCACAATTTTACCAGCTGTGTGAGGGGGTGGGGAAAGGATCTTGTGCAATGGTACGAAACAATGGTATTACATGGGACACTTCTTTCTATATTTTGTCATGGTATCAACGTTTCACATTATAGTCAGATTTATTATCACATTTAAGCACAGAACTTTATAATGTAAGTGCAAACTGTATTATTATTGTTGTTTAACATAGTAGTTATTTACAATAAGTTGTGTCTTTAACTTGAAACATGTGTTTCTCACATTAAACCGACATTTTCGAGAGTTCAGCGTAAATGATATAAATTTGTGCCAACTTTCTATCCCCACTATTTGTAGCAGTCTATTTTTATCCCAGAATTGAAAGAATGTCATGTAATATTGTGCATTATAATGACGGCGGTTGTTTCAGTTGCCTCAAATTTTATTTCTAGATTTATCACGATATTAAAGATTCAGCGGGGTAAAACCAGCAGGTTTACCCATGTGCCGTCCGCTATCGTCGAGATGCTACAATTGAATTGCACTCGGAACACCTTGGTTCTGCAGATTATTTTCCCGCGTTAACAGGAATGTTTAGTGAACACATGAGTGAGCCTAGGTGTAAACTTATCGTGCTGTAAAGAATAAATGATTGAAGGTAACAACAAAGCTATAACGGCTCAAGACCTTGTGTTCTTGAAAAGTCTCATCAGTTTGTGCACTCTATGACACTCAATAAAATGTTACAGTCGATAAACCACTTTTAATGTTCAAACAATAATTAAATTCGAATTAAAACTTTAATTAAGTTTTACTTTAGAAAAAGTATGGTGTTCATTCAGATAATTAACTCGTGAAATAGTCACGTTTGTTCCTTATTTAATTCTAAACTTCCCCTTAAAAAGCTTCTGAACTATGCAGTTAAACAATCATGTTTTATGAAATGCCCTGGGACTGAACAAATGGTATATTAAAAGTTCCAGATACGACTGGAAAAAAAACATATAAAGGCGATGTATAGCTATTATACGAAATGTGACCGTCAAAATTACGATCATGTGACCCTTTAACGACGCTCATCATGATGGTTTGTCCTTTGACATTTTTCATAAATGGACCCGACATTAGTCTAACCTTTGACAGGGAGGGAAATGTAAGTGCCATTCAACGCTATGTACATTTTGTAACGTTGTACATCACGACCTGTCTCAATAGTACATAAATGTTTCATGTCCAAACATATGAACTACAGGAAGGCCTTCAAAAATTAATGACCGTAAAATGGTAGCGTTAGAAAAATTTCATTTCATTGAGCATACTTAACGATTCAATGCTGAAAAAATATGGTTTAGACACAAGTTATCTTTCTTTCTCAAGATATCTTTTCAGTTTAACAGATTTTACTGTCTTTGACAAAAAAACAACAGCTTTTGTACTTTCTTTGTGCCGTTTAAGAACATTTTCATCAACGTGCGCTATTTGCTTTTAGCAATTTATTTTTACACCATTATTCTTAAACGACAGTAGCGCATCCTAAATAAATATGATGTTGACTTATGTTATTTACTCGGTAATATGATAAATATCGGACAAATTTACATAGGCCTTAGATAATTTGAGAGTAATTGCTCTTTTGAAAACGTAAGATTGACTACCCTGTGGTTAAATTTGACACATACCGAGGTGAGAATCCGCAGTTCCTTATGGATAACCGAATTCGATACCTTTGTTTCGTTTGAAGTCGCATGGGTTCAGGGTCCCAATGTGTATTATTTGACGGCGATTTGTCATGGTTACAATACACTTTGACGGACAACGCAATTATAAACCGTTCAGTCCGACCTTTCGCTGATAAACCACGAAAACGAAAGTTCGATTGGTAACAGATCAGAATACCGAAGAGTGAAATACACCGCTGTTATCACCAATTATCGCACCTGCCCGTGTGTCTGTACGATATGGTGTAAAGATCTCTAATGTTTATTTAATGACTACCAAGTATCATATTATGTACTTTATTTCTTTTCCTTATTATTTAATTTTTATTTATTTTCTCTTTCTATAATATGGGAAATCTGAAATTACGTTAATACGACCATGGATATTTTATATTCTTTGATATGCAACTGTTTACAATAGCGAGAAAAAATAACAATAACAAATGAATAATTGCATGATTTTTATTATTATATAAAGAATGCTTGTGTATCGTTACAGGGGGGCAATAATTAAATATACATCACAGAAGTATCTGCGGCAAATCATAAACTGTAACAGAAACAATCTCACTAGCCGTACTTACAAACAATAATCGACAAAACGTTGTATTCGTTATATAATT